CAGTGTGGAGACTGATGATTGATTTGATATATTAGGAAGCATTAAACTGATTGCCAATTTCTGAAAATCACTTGTAATAAAAGTCATCTTTTATAGCTCTGTTGCTTTGGTTCTTTGAATTCTCTGTCTTTTTGGTTTTTTAATGTTCTTCCTAAAGCTAGACAATTGTTTCTGCCATTTCTGACTTTGTTTCTCTCCACCTTTGCTGTGCCACAGACTGTGACAATGAGGAGCTGTGCTCTCAGTGGTATTAAATGAACTAAAGGATCTCCCAGCAGAGTTTTCTCCAGAGATCCCTCTTTTGTTGCCTTCTCTGGAGCTGCAGCAGCAATGTCTGTGTGCAGAGCTGGGGCAGATCAGTGCTGGCACAGAAGCTGTGCCCAGCAGCAGCAGCACTTGGTGTTGCCAGTGCTGCTGCCGTGGTCCTGCCCCGCTGCCCTGGTGGCCCTGGTGTTGCTGCAGGGCCTGAGTGCTCTCAGGGCCGGGCACAGTGCTGGGGGTGGCAGTGCCGGGGCTGCAGCAGGGACAGGCCATGGGCACTGCTGGGGCAGCGCTGACGCCTCAGGCCAGGCCCTGGGGGCTCCAGGCTCCTTGCCCAGGCTCTCTCAAGAACACGGCCAGGCCAATGCTCAGCACAGAAAAGCCCCAGGGTGAGCAGCCCCAGGCTGGCCGTGGGCAGGCTGGGGACAAACAGCATGGCTGGGGCTCTGCAAGGGCCCTGGGGGAGACGGGAAGGAGCAGCAGAGCAGGGGCTGATCCATCCCCAGCGCGCTGCACAGCCCAGGGCAGCGTCCCAGAGCATCCTCATGGAGCTGCCAACAACATCCCCCCTCTGCAGCCCTGGCCTCTCCCCCAGCTCACAGAGGTGCCGCATCCTTGCAGGCACAGCCACGGCAGCACTGGCTCAGGAGCCCCTGTTTGCATTGCACAGAGCAGGCGGGAGCACCCCCATGCTGCTGCTGTGGGGACATGAACCTGAGGGAGCACAAATGCCATCAGCCCCTGGGGCCAGCAAGGGCTGGGGGACACCAGGGAAACCACTCAGCTTTGTCCTGGCCTCTGCAGTCAGCTGGAAAGTTTGTTCCCATGAGCAGGGAGTTTCCTGTCCCACTGCAGCTGCTGTTGCTCAGAGCCAGGGCTGCCTCGCAGCCACCTCCAAACTACCCTCAGCATTTTCTTTGCTTCATCTTTGCTTTCTTTACCCATCCCTGATCCAGATTTCTTCCTATTGCCCATTCCTGCCCCTCTGTCCCTCCCCTGCAAACAGCCCATCCCTGTTTGCCCTTTCCTCTCTGGCCCCACTCCCCATTGCAGTTCCTGACTTGGCACCATGGGAACGTCCCTTGGGGAGCAGGATCATCCTCCAAGTGCTGCAGGAATTGTCTGCAGGCTCCTGCAGTGCCTCATGCTGCTCCCTTGCCAGAGGCACCCCAGGCCAGGGGGGCACATCTGCGCTGCTCTGTCTGCCTGTGGGGCTCCCTGTTCTGGGCAGTGAGGAGGGGCTGCAGAGGCTCTGCAGGACTAACAGGATGGGCTCTGGGGCTGGGAGGAGAAGCTGAGGGACCTGGGCTGCTGGAGCTTCTGCAGAGGAGGCCCAGGGCTCATCCTGCAACTGCCCCAAGGGTGGTTTCAGAGAATTCCAGAATCAGCAAGGTTGGAAAAGTCCTCGTAGATCATCAAGTCCAACCTGTGCCCTGACACCACGTTGTCTCCCTGAGCCTCCTCTTCTGCAGGATAAACAGCCCCAGCTCCCTCAGCCACTCCTCACAGGACTTGTGTTCCAGACCCCTCACCAGCCTTGTTGCCCTTCTCTGCACATGCTCCAGCCTCTCCAAGTCCTTCCTAAATTTGGGGCCCAGAACTGGACACAGCACTTGAGGTGCTGCCCAACCGGTGCTGATCACAGGGGAAGAATCACTGCCCTGCTCCTGCTGGCCACACCATTCCTGATCCAGGCCTGGAGCCATTGGCCTTCTTGGCCACCTGGGCACACTGATGGCTCATGTCCAGCCTGCTGTCCATCAGTGCCCCCAGGTCCCTTTCTGCCTGGCTGCTGTCCAGCCACTCTGTCCCCAGCCTGTAGCGCTGCAGGGGTTGTTGTGGCCAAAGTGCAGGACCCGGCATTGGACTTGGTGAACCTCACCTTGTTGGATTTGGTCCCTGGATCCAGCATGTCCAGGGCCCTCTGCAGAGCCCTTCTACCTGTCGGAACCCAGAGCATCTCTCTGGATGCCCTGGATGTCTCAAAGCCCTGGCAGGGGCTCGGAGACCCTGGCAGGAAGCCAAAGACACCTGGAAATTCGACCTTAATTCATAGAGCAAATTGCCAACCTTATATAAAGAATTATGTTGCCAAAAGTACCTGGTGGCTTGACTTTGATCCTTTTAAAGAAATGACACCTGAAAGTGAGGAGATGAGAGAATTTCATGTCTGAATGGTGAGGGGATGTTATTCACTTGTTAGAACTTAAGTTAGAATGCACTGTACAGGGGGGTTTTATGTGTTGTACAGGGGGGTCTAGAATTCTGTGCATGGATCAGGAGTTCCAAGATGGAGGAATTTGGGCGTGCCCTGTCCTTCTTCTTTCTTCTCCTTGGCATCCATGTTCAGGATGATGTTGGCATGTGTGGATTGGTTCATAGAGAAAGTGCACTTGCCAACAAGGGCGAAAAGTATTGGAAATTAAAGGTAAATGTCTTATACGTAGTTTCTACTATAAAAGAGACAACCTCCCGGTGGGCGGGAGAGAGTGCCCTTGGCTGTCTTGCTGATCAGACCTCGGCTGGACAGACAGAAAAACTTTGTAGATAAGGAACAATAAACTCAACTGAAGACCAAAAGCAAGAGTCCAGACTCCTTCTTCGAGAGCATGGTCTGTCCAGAACCACCTTTTCCCGTGCTGAGGCAGAGACCACTGGCAGCCGACGCCGGCACCTACCCTCCAGCAGATCCACACTCACACCCAGCTTGCAGTCATCTGCAAATTTTCTGATGCTAGACTCAGTCCCATCACACAGATCATCAGTGCAGATATTGAAATTCATGCTGGCTGGCTCTGATCCCTCGGCCATCCTGTGGGTGCCCTGTGATGGCACTCAGGGTGATCTGTTCCATAACCTTGCCGGGCACCGAGGTCAGGCTCACAGGCCTGGAGTTCCCCAGATCCTCCTTCCAGCCCTTCTTGGGGATGGGCTCACACTGACACCTCCACTCCTCTGGGACCTCCCTGCTAAGCCAGGACTGATGGTAATTGATGGACAGCAGCTTGGGGAGCTCATCCACCAGCTCCCTCATCCCCCTGGGATGGATCCCATCTGCTCCCAGAGACACCTGTGAGCACCTGAGTGGCTCAGCAGGTCCCCAGCTGCTTCCTCCTGGATTCCAGGGGCTGTTCTGCTGCCTGTGCCCATCTACCAGCTCAGGAGAACACTTGTCCTGAGGATGTCCTGTCTTATTGTTTAAAACTGAGGCAAAGAAAGGGTGAAGTACCTCAGCTTTCTCCTCATCTTTGGTAACCATATCCCCCACAATAAGAAATGCAGATTGTCCTTACCCCTCCTTTTGACATTAATGTATTTATAAAAACATTTTTATTATCCCTCACAAAAGTATCCAAGTGAAGTCCTAATTGACATTTCACCTTTCTCATTTTCTTTCTGCAGAACCTAACAACATCCTGAGACATTTCTTGATTTACCTGCCCCTCTGTCCAAAGGTGCTGCACCCTCTTTTTAACCCCTAAATTCCTGCAAAAGCTCCATGCCCAGCCAGGCCAGTCATGTCCCCCTCTGGGTCATCTTTCTGCACAAAGGGACTACCTAATCTTGCTCCTTCAAGATTTCTTTTTTGAAGTGTTTCCATCCTTCCTGGAACCCTTTGTTTTTAAGGTCTGTTTCTCTTAAAAAAATCAGTACCTGATTTGGTACTCCCCAAATCTGCATCCTCAATAGGCCAAAGTCTGCTCTTATAGGTCTCTCAGGAGCTCTTTGTCTCCCTTCAGTCGTCTTCAAGTCTCCAGGGCTTGTGCAGGGATTGGAGTCAGTTTGGAGTTCTGTAAAGGAGCAAGATTCCAGACAGCATATCATGATTTTTGGTTTTAATAAAGGAAATATGGTTTTATTTTAATTTCAGAGAAGAGGTGATAGAAGCATTCCCCAGGTGATCTTGATGCTGAATGTCTCCTTAGGAAGTCTGGGCACAGAGAAGAACGAGCACCTTGCAGGCTGACCCTGTCTGGACAGGCTCACCCCCAGCCTCACCATGTCTGACATCGCCCACCTGGGACTGACATCCCAAAACATAGAAAAAAATTAAGTATTTTTCCTTATAAATAAAATCTAATTAATAAAATGATATTTATATTATTCTAATTTATGATGGTATTGTTATTTATTTTTCTTACCTAATTATTGTATTTATAATAAAAAATCAATAGATTTCTAGCAAGCAAGAAAATTATTGATCATTGGTTCTAAGTAACACAATTCTCTTCATAAATTAATTAAGCTCTATTGGCTATTAATTTCTTCCACTTTATGGTAACTAGTAATATCTGTAGTCCTTTTTGAAAAATTTTTACGATTTTTTCTCTGATAGGGCCAAGGGGGGCCCACTTTACTGTCCCTGGAGACATTTCTGGGGCACATTTGGGGCAGTTTTGCATCTGGGGTGGGAATTCAAAGAGAACTTGAGGGTGTGGAGGACACTTGGGGGAGCCGGGCGGGCACTTGGAGGGGCACTCAGAGATTCTGAGGGACAGTTCGGGGTCCGGAGGGGGAGCACTTGGGGGTCCTGGGGGGCCCTTGGAGGTCAGGGAGGGGAATTTGGGGCCCTTCGGGGTCTGGGGGGCCTTGGGGGGCCCGAACGGGGCTCTCTGGGGCGCGGGGGGTGATGGGAGTTGTAGGCGTGGGTATAATACGGTTTAACGGGGCCGCGGAGCATCACGGGACTTCTAGGCGCAGCTGCAGTGGCTCTCGGTGGCGCGCGGGAGATAAAATCCCGGTTGGAACGGCGCTGTACGTGTTCCGTGGAGCATGATGGGAGCTGTAGTCCCGGAAGGGCTGGAACGCGGCGTTTGGGAATCCAGGAAGGCACTTGGGGGACACTTTTGCGTCCGAGCCATGACTTGAGGTCCTCGGGGGGAACGCAAACGGTACGGGAGCCCTTGTGGGGAGCTTGGGGAGGTCCAACCGGGCTCTTTATGGCTCGGGGCACGGCAGAAGTTTTAGGCGCGGAACTGTGTTATGAGGGGCTCTGGGGCCGAGGGGGATAAGAGGAGATGAATTCCCAGAAGTCGCTGTACCGGGCATCTGTGGGGTTGGGAGCACTCAGGGGATCCGGAGATGCTTTTGGGGGGTCCCGAGTGGGGGCTGAGGAGGCACTGAGGGATCCTGGAGGGTCTGGGGGACACTTAGGGGGAGCCATGACTTGAGGTCCTCGGGGGGAACGCAAACGGTACGGGAGCCCTTGTGGGGAGCTTGGGGAGGTCCAACCGGGCTCTTTATGGCTCGGGGCACGGCAGAAGTTTTAGGCGCGGAACTGTGTTATGAGGGGCTCTGGGGCCGAGGGGGATAAGAGGAGATGAATTCCCAGAAGTCGCTGTACCGGGCATCTGTGGGGTTGGGAGCACTCAGGGGATCCGGAGATGCTTTTGGGGGGTCCCGAGTGGGGGCTGAGGAGGCACTGAGGGATCCTGGAGGGTCTGGGGGACACTTAGGGGACAGATGGGGGGTGGATACCGGGGGGTGGGGGAGTTGTTGAGTGCGGAGCATGACGGGCATTGTAGCCCCGGCACCAATGGGGCGCTGTCGTGCCGTGGGCCGTGGCGGGAGTTGTAGGCAAAACCGAAAAGATGGAGCCGATTCCAGGCATTGCCCCTGAGTCCCTGGTCCCCGTCGCTGATTGGTTATAGGCGGTGATGGGCAGAACCCTCGGCAAATGGGAGGCAGCAGAGGCGGGATCAGCCCTTTCAACCCCTCCCATCCCTCCCAGTACAGCCCAGTTCATCCCCAGTACAGCCCAGTAGGACTGCAGTGCCGGTCCAGGCAGTCTTAGCACAGCCCAGTCCTTCCCAATACACCTGAGTTAATTCCCAGTCTCCTCCAGTTCCCCCAGTCTTCCCCACCTGCTCTCAGTGCTTTTGGGGTTTCAAACCTGGACACTGGGGCTGATGGCTGTCCCAGGGAAAGAGCTGGGACAAGGTGTCCATTGCTCAGGAGCTGTACTTGGGATTGTCACTTGCCACTGTTCCTCTGAGCTCTTCTCTGCTTTGGAGATGTGTTCTTAACAAGCTGGTGGCTCTCCAGTGATGGCCCTGGGAGCAGCCAGGGCAGAGAATGAACTGAGTTTCTCCTGCTGCCATTGTTGGTGCCCTGTCTGGGTGTGCAGATGAGTCTCTTATCTGTTAACCTAGCACAAGGCTGCAGGAGCACCAGTGTCCTGAGGCAGCCCTGTTTGGAGGCTGCCCTCACAGGCACTGGTATTGTGCAACAGATGTCACCAGATTCTTGGGATGGCTTTCCAGAAATGCACCATGATTAGGGGAAAAGCTTTGTTCTTGCCTTGGCAATGGATCTGCTCAGGACCAGGATCACAGATTTGTTCCGAAGGCTGTAGATGAATGGATTTAAGAACGGGTACAGGACTGTGTTCAGCAGAGCTACAATTCTGTTGGTCCTCAAGGAAACATCTTCTGCAGGACACGTGTAGAGAGCAATGAAGCTCCCATAGGCAATGGATAAGGTGATGAGGTGGGAAGAACAGGTAGTCAAAGCTTTCTTCCTCCCAGAGGCTGCTGGAAGAATGCAGAACACAGAAAAGGTTGCAGATGTAAAATGCCAGAGTCAAACATAAGGAACCCAGCACAACACGCGATATGAAGACAGAGTCTATTTTCCAAAGGAGGCTGGTGTCAGAGCAGGACAGTTTGAACAAAGGGGAGTTGTCACAAAGGAAATGGGGGATCTTGGAGCCACAGAAAGACAGCTCCAAGAGGAAGAGCAGCCGGTAGCTCAGCAGGACAAAGCCGAGGACCCAAGCAGCAACAACCAGGTGGACACAGAGCTGAGGCTTCATGATGGCAGCGTAGAGCAAAGGTTGGCAGATGGCAACGTAGCAGTCAAAGGACATGACAACCAGCAGGATGAACTCTGTGCAGCCCAGGGCGAAATAGAAATAGTTTTGGGCAAAGTAGATGCTTAGTGAGAGAGTGTTCTGACCAGAACTCAGCATCACAAACAGTTTGATGCTTGTGGAGGATGTAAACCAGATTTCCAGGAAGGCCAGGTTGCTGATGAAAAAGTACCTGGGGGTTTGCAGGTGGTGATCCACACACACCAGGAAAATGATGGTTGCATTCCCCATCACTGTTGTCAGGTACATGAGCAGAAGGACCTGAGAGAAAAATACCTGCAGTCTTGGATCAAGCTCTGGGAAACCCTCTAGGATGAACTCAGTAACTGCTATTTCATTTTCTGCTCCCATGCTGAATTCCAGCTCATCCTGCTGAGACAGGAACGTGGCAAAAACAAGTGGGATAATTTCACAGTCTGGACAAACATTTCTATCCTTCCTTCTCTGCTTCTTTCTTTTCCTGCAGTCTTGCTATAGAGCACAGAGATCGTGCTTCGAACAATTCTCACTCCGATTGTTTCCCATTTCAGGTAGAGAGCCCAGGGATTTTATTGTGTTCTTTCTACCATTTCCAAACACTCCCAAAGAATTCTTTCACCAGAACAGAGGATTTTAAAGAGCTATTGGATATTTCCCCCCATTGCTGGGAAATTCCCAGCTCACTCAGACGTACTGCAAACATCTGTCACACCCATGTGCCAAACACAGCACATCTACAGCACAAATACTAAACTGTGAAATTACATCCAATCCATGCAATGAACTTCCTTGTTTCTACTTTTCAGTACTTGCCTTTGGACCAGGAGCCCCTGAGGATCTGTTGATTCCAAAATAAACAATCCCAAGTATCTCTTTTGCAGCCCTCTGCTGTCTTCCACGGCTTTTTCCTCTTTGGCTCTTCAGGAAAGGAATGGAGAGGGCAGAATAGGGACCAGGTAAAACTTGTTTTTTTCGTACTCTAAATGAGGACTGGAATTTATTATGGATCCACCCAGAGTGTCACAATCTGAGCTGTCACCTGTCTGCACCAAAATGCACCTGTGCCCATGCAGTCCTTCATTGCTATTGCCATCAAATAACCCGAGTGCAGAGCAAGAGAAAAGTCCAGGAAGAGATTTGTAACTTTTGTTTTGTGTGTTGGCTGGGAGCACCCAGCCTCCAAATGTTCTCTTGTCTCCACTGGCTACAGAGGGAGTCTTGAGAAAACAAATTTTCCTGGGTGCCTGCAGGGGAGCAGATGAAACTCACTTTTCAAATCTCAAGTCCCTGATTAATTAAGTAATTCAGTTACTCTGTTTTGAAACCAAAATACACAGCTAAGAAAAGATGCATGAGAAAACATACGCAATTATGACTGGTGTTTTCTCTTTCAGATTTTTTGGTTCGCTTTTAGACATGGAGAAGAGCAGAGCTGATGACTTTGAAAATAGGATTATTTAAAATGCCAGCAGAGAAGAGGAGAGGGGGCATCTGAAGCAATGAAACAAAGCTCTGTTGATGTGCAACCAGAGCACTGAAGTCATCGGTCCCCTGGGTGGCCCAAGGACTCTCCCATCTCATTGTCCACACAGAGCGGAGGAGAGACTGGTCTGAGACAGGCCATCAACTTGAAACCAAGGGATGGAGTTCAGTCAAGAGCCCTCAAAATGAACCAAGTCCAAAATGAGAAGAAATGAGTCACTGTCAAAATTAAGTGTGGGACTGAAACGTTTGGGAGCTCTCCAGGTGGGGACTTGGGGCAGCCCTAGAGATGAGCAGATCCTGCTGTGCCCAGGCCGATTCTTGTGCATAAATGCAGTGATCACCACTGTGGGTGGAGGCTCTGACTGCTTCAGAGACCCCTGTAGCACCTTCTGCTCCACAGCTGAGTAAAACTGAGCAAATTACAATTACTTAAGAAGCTTCCACACTCCAGAGACCACAGGGCAGGTGGATTATCAGAACCAATCAGAACAGCTGTAAGTGAAGCCACATTTGGTACAGTTGAAGGCTCTGTTGCAAAGGACACTCTTCCAATGTGAGTTATTCCACAATTCAATCTTTTCCCTCAGGGCTCATCAAATAGCAGAGGAAGAAAGAAAAGAGACTTGGTGTTAGTCAGTGTGCACATTGTAAGAAAGAGAGGCATTTGAAAAAAGACTGTCTGCAGTTACAACACAAAACCTCCCTCTCGTGACCACCACCGATGGTCACTGAGGGGGACCAGAGGATTCTTTCCCAGAAGAACCTCTGGTCACAGCTAAGCTGGGAGGGAGGAGGTCAATGAGTAGTTAGAATTTTAGTGGCTACAGGAGCTGGACACTCTATGCTAAATACAGCAAAAGGAAGCTTGAGCAATGATTCTATAACAATCATTGGTGCAACAGGGAATCATGAAACTCAGCCATTTTCCTGGCCCATTGATTTTAAATTAGGAAAACAATGGATCTACTCAATTTACTAAAGCCTCTCCTTGGAGGATTTTTGGAAAACCTGAATGCTAAAATCAAGATTAAAATGGCAAAATGCAGGTTATTACTCCAAAGTCTAATTATGTGGAAGACTCTATTTTTGCATTGCAGTCTTCAAAATCAGATGTGATCCATCTGTCATCTGTATCACTTAAGGATGCAGTAAATCTGGTAGTCTGGATTGGAGAGGTGCCCCAGTGACTCAGAAAAGCAGAGCCTGTAAGAAATACACTGAAACCCTGAGCAGGACCAGTAAGGCAAAAGCAATACCCTTTGAAAAAAATAAAGTTGTAGGGGGTTATTATCCCTCGTGGAAAGATTTATAAAATAAGGCCAGTTAAAGGAATATTAATCCAAATGTAATATCCATATTTTGCCAGTTAAGAAGGCAAATGGAGAGGATTAGTGGCTGGTACAGGATCCTAGAGCCATAAATGGGACAATGGAAGATATACACACGTCAGTAGCAAATCCTTGTACCTTGCTAACAACCTGGAGTGAAAAATTAAAATGGTTCACAGTATGGAATTTGAAAGTGGCCTTTTCTGTATTTCTTTGAATAGTGAAAGTAAAGAACTATTTACTTCTGAATGGGAAAGTCCAAACACAGTGAGAAGAACCCAACTGACTCGGCCAGTTATACCACAGAGGTTTATATGGAGACCAAGTGGCAAAAGAACTGGAGGAATGGAAGCATCAGAAGCCTCTTGGAGTCTTGTTCCAGTCTGGAGATGGCATTCTGAGGCCACTGAAACTCAGCAGCAATGCAGGGATCAGACTGTGGCATTGTGGAATTTTCTGGGACTAAGTGAATACAGAGTACAAACAGTCCAGACCACAGAAGCCTACCTGGGATTCAAAATCCTCCAGGGACAAAGGGGGTTGGGACAGGAAGGAAAAGAAGCAATTTGCCAACTCCCACAGCCATGAAGGATGAGAGAGTCACAGGCATTTCTCAGGGCGGGGGATGATGTCAGCTGTGCATCAGCAATTATGGGCTGCTGGTAAAGCCGCTGTGAGAGCTTTTGAAGGCAGCTCAGCAGGACTTTATAGTGTGGACTGGTATGGCATTGGCTGCCTTTTCACAGCTCCAGCGAGCCCTCATGCGGGCCCTGCTTTGGGGCTCCCAGACCCCATGGACCCATTGGATCTGTTTCCCTATGAGAGACAAAACCCAGCACGGGGAATGCTGTCACAGTTCCTGGGGACTGCAGCAGGGCTGTGCCTACTATTCCCAGCAACCAGACAGTGTCAGCCAGGGCTGTCTGGGCTGTCTGAGGGCAGTAGCAGCTGCTCTTTTATTGATCCAGAAAGCTCAAGAACTGACTTTGGGACAGAGTGTTATAGTTTAAAAATTCTTTCAATACACAGTTCAAGATGAAACCTCCTGGGCATTTGAAGAAATCTAAACCAAACTTCCTTCCTGATTACCCAGCTGTGTTTGGTTAAAACATCTGTTTGTGATGGTCACCACAATAATTGCTGTATGGCTTTCACTTCCATCACAATTCAGTGTTATAGTGCACAATGCTATAAAATGGAGCTATTGAGAGACCAGTGCATATAAGGAACTGAACTTTTTCTCAAGAAAAGGGGGGATGTGATGAGGACAGTAGAACAGAACAGCACAACCTCAGAGAAACAGATAAAGAATGTCACTCACACAAAACACGAGTAGGATGCCAGCTCTGCTCTGCAAGGCTGACAAAGCAGAAGCTATGCAAAACAATATTGCCCTTACTCAAACGCAGGAGTTGAGGAACGGCCTCTAAAAAGGACACCAGATGTTGGAAACAGACCCCAAAGAACCACATAAAGACTTCTGATAAGGGGTGCAACTATATCAAATAAAGTCAAAGAAAGCAGGGAGAGCTCGCGATTATGTAATCAGTGTGTCTGCAAAAAACTCTGTTCACTTGATGGTCAGTACACTCGAATGGAGGAAAGATGGCCCAAGTGACCACCATGCTGTAATAAAGAATACCTGCTTTCAAATATTCAAACTCTGTTCAAAGGTTTCTATCCAGTGGATTTCAGTATTAGTGGTGTCCTTGACTCCATTATTCCTCACAGTTTCACAATGGCCCTTGGTTCCATCAGGCCCTGCTGTATAACAGTGGACCCTTGCTTCCATTGGGTTCTGTACTGTCAAAATGGCCTCCTTGGTTCTGCACTGCCACAATGCTGTCCTTGGTTCCATGAGGCCTTGGTGTGTCACAACAGCCCCTTGGTTCCATAAACTACCATAGTGTCACCCTGGTCTCTTGATCTGCAGTATCACAATGGACATTTGGTTACAGGCAGCCCCGCTGTGTCACCATGAATATTTGGTTCCATGGGGCTCTAGAGTGTCACAATAGCCCCTTGGTTCCACAAGGCCTCCCTGTATAACAATGGCCTCTCAGTTCAATGATGTTTTCTACTATCAGCAATGGTCTCCTTGTTTCTGTAGTGTGAAAATGGCTGCTTGGTTCCATGAGGTTCCTCAGTGTCCCATGGTCTCCTTGGTTCCATGAGGCTCTGCAGTGCCAAAATGTCCCATAGTTTCCAGGAGCTTCTGTCGTATCAACCATGTCCTTTGTTCCAGTGAGGTCTCACAGTGTCACAATGGCCACTTTGTTCTGTGAGGTTCCATAGTATCATCATGGTCTTCTTGGATCTGATGTATCACTATGGACCATTGGTTCCCTGCGGCCCTGCTGTGTCACAGTGGTTCCTTGCTTCCATGAAGCCCCACTGCATAACAATGGAATCTTTGTCCCATGAAGTTCTCTACTGTCACAATGATCTCCTTGGTTCTGGACTGTAACAATGAACCCTTGGTTCCATGAGGTTCCATGATGTCACCATGGTCTCCTTAGGTCCATGAGGCCTTGCTTTGTCACAGTGGATCCATGGTTCCATGAGCTCCCATAGTGTCACCATGGTCTCCTCGGATCCACATTGTCACAATGGACAATTGGTTCCATGGGCCCCTGCTGTGTCACAATAAACCCTTAGAACTATGAGGTTCTGTAGTGTCACAATGATCTCCCTGGTTCAATGACACCTTGCAGTGTCACAGTGGCTGCTTGGTTCTGTGAGCAATGGTCTTGTTTCTGCAGTGTCACAATGGACTTTGGTTGCGGTGTGTGGGATGGAGAGATGACAAAACATTGAGGTTTCATGCAGCAGAGAGTCTTTATTCGGGTACCCAGCTCTTTTTATAGGCTATTCAAAAGACTCCACGTTTGACTCTGGTTGGTCACAACCCACAACCACTGACCAATAGCTGCCTGCTTGCATTCATATCAGGGACTGGCTCTCTGTAGCTAAAGCCCCTCCTCTTCTTAGGAGGCATATGCCACGATAATTCTGCCTTTTTCTGTTTTAAAACATATTTATTAAACTCAATCTTTCTACTTATTGGTGTGTTCTATGTGGGTTTTACTATCAAGTTTAGGAGCTTCTAAAGTACAATATTACTAGGTGCATGCTGCATGTTAATTACTTGAGACTTACAAGTTATAACTTGAGCATTAAAAGCAAATGAACTTAAAACTATCAGAAGTAACATTAACATCTGTTAGGGATAGTATTTAAAATTTTTAAGTGTCTGATTTTTGAAGTCTAAGTGAAATCACAGGTGCGTTGTTATTTCAAAGATTTGTAGCTGGTGAAGAGGGGGTTGTTGCTTATCGAATACTGACATTTGTGGAATTGTATGCATTCCCCCTCTCTGTTTGTTAACTTTACCTGTGTTAGTATGCTTGGTTGTGGTGATGGACTTGGTATATTTAGAAACTTACTATTAATTTCAACAGGAGTTGGTATGAATGTTTTAGATATGCACAAATATGAAAGGTAGTAGTTAGTGATTTTTAGATTGAAAATTACTTTGTAGATATTGTAAACAGAAGTGATAAGAGATAAGCACTTAAAAAACTCTATAACTGAAACTTGTTAATTTAAAGCTGTGGAGTTCACAGAAATGTTTAGGTTATTCTATTTTAAGGACAGTGTGTTTAACAGAAGAGTTTATGCATTTTTAGTGTTTTGCTATAAGATGAGAGAGTGTTAGGGTTTTATGTGAGTTTAAGAGGGTTTGCAGGAGACAGAACTCGGGCTGTGGCAGGAGCAGTGGGAGCGGCACGTGTCGGGGCTGCCCTCACAGAGCCACGGCCCTGCACTCCTCCTCCCCTTGCCCTTGCTACTGCTTCATTGTCACTATCGAGTAAGAAATGACACAGACTCTCCAGAAGGCTGGTTTGCATAAAGCGCACGTCTTTACTTTGAATCCTCTTTTTGTACATTGTGCCAATACAGATAGACCTGGTTGGTCAATTAATCAATACATTTCACCTGATTCGCTAATTAACAAGACACCTTTCTTATAAACAATCTTTGAGAAAAAAATAAAACAGAGAGTAGGAAAACACCATCTGCAGCTTGTTTATGATAATCAGCCATCATTGTTTATCTTCAACTTCCTAAAGTCTTTCAGACCAGTTCTGGGGAAAACTTACCTAGTTTTCTTGCTCTCTGACTAGGCTGTCATATCCACACTTCATTGCCTGTACGGGCTTTTCCCATGCTCTGATCTCTGACCCCAGGGTATGGGAAGGGCGTTTGGGAGACCCCTTCATCTGGGGCAGTTGGTGACTTTTGTCTCAGTCAGGGTTGGTTCAGAGCATTGTGTTGGGCTCTGGAGTTTTCGGGTGATTGCTGGGGGTGCCAGCGTTGGGAAACTGCGGGCTGTGCTTGGAGCGCAGTGCTGGGATGGCTCTAGAGCTTGGTGTGTTCTCAGGGAAGTCCCTGGTTTTGGGAGTCATTTTGTCTCTGTGACTCAGTGCTGTTCCAGGTTTCCCAGGATGCATGGTGTCGCTGTGGGTGGTTGTGTTGGGTCCCACAGGGACAGCAGGGGCAGCCCCCCCCCCCCCCCCGGATGCTGCTGTGCGGGCACTGCAGGGGCTTCTGGCACAGATGGCCAGTGCATGGGCTGCGCAGACGCCTCCAGTGCCTGTGGTGGGGGGCGGCTCTAGCCCTGACATGGTGGCGCACCAGCACTGCAGGGCTGGAGATCCCAAACAATGGCAGCTTCCCTTCTAGACTCCCCATCCTACACGCTCAGTGTGGCACCTCCCTCCTTGCAGGTCACTCTTTTGGCCCCAGCTACCTGCTGCAGCCTGGCCTCAGTGGAGACTGCACAGCGTGTGGCAACTCCACTCCGCTCTGCAGGTCCCTGCGGCTGCCTGCAGCTGGTAGGGCTCCCCACCTCTTTGGGCGCTGGCTGTGGTGCTGGGTGCCTCGGTGTTTCCCAGGTTTCTTGAGTCCTGACTGTGGATGTGGTGGCACGTAGCAGTCTACAGTCCTCAGTGATGGCGTTGCCAGCTTCTTTTCTGGTTTTTGGTGCTGCTGTCCTTCCGGAATCTGGTGGGCACAATGTATGGAGCCCTGGCCACCATGCGGGGGCAATTTCGGCTGCTGCCTCCACATATTTGGCACGGCATCTCTGCTCCTGTGGGCTGCCACCTGTGCTCTGCCATCTTGAACGAGTGTCTCTGGTGCCATGTGCCAAACGCCATCTCAAGTGAGTGACTCACATGCCATGTGCTGACAGCCATCTTGGGTGAGTGACTCATATGCCATGTGCTGACAGCCATCTTGGGTGAGTGACTCACATGCTATGAGCTGACAGCCATCTTGGGTGATCTGTGTCCAAAGCACATGGCATCCTCCATGTTCATGTTTTTCTGCAGGCTGCGGTGCGTGACCGGCAGTACGGGACATGGAGCCTAAAAATGTTTTTTTCAGCCCTGGTATGGGCGGCATCTCTCCTGCCATTTCCGCATCCTGTTCAGCTTCTAACTGCCACAGCCAGTTTGAAATAAACATTAAGAGTTTTATAATGTCCATAGTGGCTTTCAGAGCTTATTGCTTATATTTTACTCCTCATTGAAGTAAAAGAAAAGTTCATCACTTAATGACGGGTTGTTCTTTTATGGAGATAAATTAATCTATTTCTTTGGTGGAGTTTTCCTTCTATGTTTCACCTCTTTTGTTTCTTTGGCTCTTACCCTGTCGGGATTTTTAGCTTTACCACCTTTTCCAGCTTTTGTTTCACATAGCTCTTTGGCTGTCCTTTTCTCACAGCTCTTACTACATTGCTAGTTCTGTCTGCATTTCTTCACAGCTCTGGCTATGTCTCTAGCTCTGGCTTTTTCTCACAGCTGTGGGCTGTGGCTCTCTGCTGTTTTGTCTCATTCCTTTTCTTGTGGCTTAGTTCTTTTGTTCACATGGGGTCACCATCTGTCGCAGTGCATGGGGATGAAGAGATGCCACGCCATCGATGCAGCAATGTATCTGAACAACTTAGGCCACACTGCACCAGCCATACCATGTGGTATTTTCTGTGTGCCCCAATGTTGGAAGGAAATGATGAATCTGACTCCATGTTCTTAGAAGGCTAATTTATTATTTTATGATATAATATATTAAAGAATGCTATACTAAACTATACTAAAGAATACAGAAAGCATACAAACAGAAAGCTAGAAAGAAACTACTGAAAAACTCATGACTCTCTCCTCCAGTGTCTTGAAACAGCTGGCTGTAACTGGCCAATAAGTAAAAACAGTTCACACACAACCAATGAAACAATCACCTGTTGGATAAACAATGTCCAAACAACATTCCAAAGCAGTAAAACACAGAAGCAAATCAGAAAATTATTGTTTTAATTTTTCTCTGAGGATTCTCAGCTTCCCAGGAGACAAATCCTGGGAAACGAGATTTTTCCAGAAAATATGATGGTGACAATACCGCTTGTAGTTGTTCTTATCAGAGCCCTTTAGAATTCATCAAGGTTACTCAATTGTGCAAAATTAAGAAAGAAGAGGCTGAGAAACAGAATACCAAGACCGCAAGAACTAGATAACAGAGGGCTGTGAACCACCTGGGCTGTAACCAATCACATACTCTGAGAAGTGCATGCAGAACGTGTGGACAAGACAGAGGC